TGACGCCGACGAAGCACGAGACCCGCTCACCTTCGCCCTCCGGCGCGCTATGCGCGCGGCGCTCCCTCTCGCCACAATGACGGCGATGCGATGAAGCATCTCCCGCCGCACCGCGGCCAGCTCCCGACCCTCTCCGCTCGCCACCGCCGTCGCCAGCGCACGGACCGCGGCGTCCGCGCCCTTCGACATGCCGCCCTGGGTTTCGAACGCGACCGGCCTGAACTGGAGGCCGTGCTCACGGCATCGCTCCTCCGTCCGGTTGCGCTGCCGCTACTGCTCGTCGCACGCCTCGGCCGCAAGCTCCGGCGCCATGGCCGCGTCCGCCAAGCGCGACGGCCCCAGGGCGATGATCAAGGCGAAGTCAAAGCAGACCTTGTCTGCCCTCACAGCGCGGCTGCCGTTCGGCAGAAGCCGTGCTAAGAAGATGTGGGTGATCACCAGCACGTCTGCCGGGCGGCGCTCGTCTGCTGCCCGTCGTGCTTCGCACGCCCCGGGGTCATCCAGCAGCCCTACTGCCTCCAGCGCGGGGCGCGGCCCGCCGCGAGCAGAGTAGTTGTAGAAGACGTCTCTGATCGCATTATGCACAAGCGTGGCGCCCCCTCCACTCACGCACGACAAGCAATGCGCACCCCTCGCGTCCAGCGGGGCTGCGCACAGCGGGCACGCGCTGCCCTCATCCAACACATCGACACCGAGCAAGGTCTCGACGTTGTCTGCGAACTCGCCCGCGGAAAGATTCATGTCAAGTGTCCTGGATGGGGTTAGCTCGCACCGAGTTCCCGCCCCCAGCGCTGAGTGCGCGCTCGATCGAACCCCAACAGCTGACTGGCTTTCGTCGCGCCATGTCTCGACCGCTTTGCTCCGCAGCTTATCTCCCAGGTGAGCCTAGGTCAACTCTGCCCGGATCGCCACCCCAAGGGCGTCGCGGCCCAAGGTGGCTGCCAACCTGGCCGCGGCGCTCGCCAGAGATCTGCCCGGCGCGCCGTCGCCCCACCGGCGCCCAGGCTGGATGCGCTCGCACAGGTCGCGGGCGGCCGCCCGCGACGCCACGCGCGCGGCGCCCATCTCCATCGAGACGCGCCTCAGCCCAAGCCCGGCCGCGGAGGTAGCGAAGGCGGCCTGCCTCCTCTGCAACTCTGTCCAACGCTGGCCCACCACCGCGGCGGCCGCGTCCACCACCTCGGGATCCTCGTCGTAACGGCCAGCGGCGTCCCGCTGCACCACAGCCGGGGTGGCGCGAGCCAGGTAGGTCATCCTTCCAGCGTTGACGCATTGCCTCAGCAGGTAATGCGTGACCTGGGGGTCTCCAAGCTCCGCCAGGAACGATAGGATGCCCCCCTGCTACCTGGCCCGGCGCGCGCAAAGGCTTTGCAGTACTCCTCCTCTCCGACAGGGGATTTCAGCACCTCGCACTTGCCGTCCTCGAACACCACGCACCCCAGCTCCACGAACGGGGCGGCGTCGAGCGTGCTCCGAACCCCAGCGGCCGGGCCCACTTGCAGCGTCGAGAAGCGAAGGCCGACTGCGGGCATCACCGCCTTCAGGTGCGCAATTGCCCGCAGCACCTCATTGGACGGGCCTGCGACGAGGGCGTCGTCAGCGAAGCCTGGGGCCATGTCCAGACGCGCAGGAGGCGCGAGGACGGGCAGCTGGACTGCTGTGCTCATCGGAAACGGCATGAGCCCCAGAGACTCGATAAGCATCCTCTGCACCATCGCGTGGCAAGCGCCAATCAATGGGCATCCTTGCTGCCCACCGTTTTCACTGTCGATGATGCGCCCTCGGTAGAACATCATCGCGGGGACGTCCGCGGGGTGGGTGAACTCGAGCCATCGCACGATGCCGGGGGCCACCTCGCGCATCCGGGTCAGGAACGTGTGTCGGTCCACCTCGTTGTGCGCATTCGTCTGGTCGCTGTTGACCAATACCCGATCCAGGTCGCGCGCCAAGTCTTGCTTCCACTGCTGGGCCAAGTGCGGCATGGCCTCGACGCCGGCGCGCGCGCCGACCGCCAGCTGCAGAGGTTCGAGATGAACCCGTAAAGCGTCTATCTCTGTCGCCAACAGGGCGTTTCCGACAACTCTCCGAATGGCCTCGCCTGCTCACGCCGGTTGCGCATTTTCTGTGCCGTCCTTCGCGGTCTTCTGGAGGGCCATTCCCCCACCCAGAAACGGCCTCAGCTGCCCAGGGGCCCGGCCATCTGTTAGCAGATTGCACACTGCGGCGAGGATCGCGCAACCTGGCCTGTCCCCCTTCTCGCCCACAATCTGCTTGTAGAAGTCGGGACGGTGCCCTGATGGACCCGGCGCAACGCCCTTTGAGAAGCTGTGGATGGCCTTCGCGACCGCCTTTTCGGTGATCTCGTTGGCCGGCGGCGCGGCAGGGCGGCGGGAGTCCCGCTGGTGGCCCGGTGCCGAGGGGAACTTCGACCGCATGGTGGCCTCCGCCTGCGCCGTGTCGGGCGCAAGGCCCTCGCTCGAGGCGTGTCGCACGGCTTTCCCTGGGCGGCCCCGGCGCACCAGCGCGATGAGCTCTTGTTTTTTGACCTCGTGTTGTTACTCCTCATCGGGGGCACGCCGAGGCCGTCGTTGAGCGCGAGCTGTGAGCTGCAACGCTTCATCCCGAGGGACCTGCGGTCCACTGCAGCCCACCTCGCAGCCACGTTGGCAAACCGGTTCATGTTACGTTTTTCCTTCGCCTTTCCTCTGGGCAGAGCGGGAGTGACATTTTTCTGGAACATCAGCCACTCGGTCAAAGCTCGTCTGGCCTGGGCATGCTGGGGCGCGTCATTGGCCGTGCCCTCCACCTCCCTCGCGTCCACCCGAGAGCATGCGAGCACCCTCGATCCACACTTGTTGAACTCGCGCTCGACGACGGCGAAGAGGCCCGCACCGATGTTCTCTCTTGTCTGGATTCCAAGCAATTCCAAGCAATGCCATGTAACATCAAGCAACGCCAAGCAATGCCAAGCAATATCGATCAATGCGTCCATGCAATCAAAAGTGTTCCCTAATTTGAATCGTGCTGGGCCCTGTTTTTGATGCTGTTGTTGCGGTTGAATTCTCATCTCTGGAACAGAATTATGATTGGTCCCCCTCGTATAACCATTGCATGTTTCTATGAACGTGCTCCCCACGTTGGTCGCATCCTGTCTTTTACAAGGGGGACGAAATGTCCCCAAGCTGGCCTCTTGCCCCTGAGTTCAAGCAGCAGCGGCTCCCGCCGGATACTTCCTCACAAGCTGTTTAAAATACGCGCTTTCGCGCGGGTCTTCCTCATACGCTATGCAGGATTCGCGCTCTCGCGTGGGACTTCCTCGCCATTTATGCAAGCGTCGCGCCTCCAACCCTTAGGAATCACGCTGTCGCTTTGACCTCTCTCACGATTTACTTGGGAATCGGGTTATCCCTGCAGACTTCCTCGCGATTCAAGCTCACGCTTGGGCAACCCGCCTGCTCGACCTGGCCGCCTGGGCCCGCCTTGCCGACCCGCCCATCAGGGTCAACCCGCCGGGTCAGTCCGTCTGGTTATGCCACGTGTTTTCTGTTCCTAGCCCCCTCTCCTGCTAATCTCTTTCGTGCTCCAACCTTCCCCCTCCCCTTTCCATGTTTCCTCTCTTTCCCTGTTTCAGGGGTTGCGCCAACTACTAGCCGCAGGAGAGGAAGATGTCCCCCCAGGGGGGGTCCGACCGACGACAATGAAGACGGACACCGAGGGTGTGGAATCTTCGTGTTGAAAAGCATGCGATCTTTTCAGAACAAGCACTCTTAAAATCGTTGTGGATATGAATGTTGATGGTGATGGTGATGTTGATGGCGATGGCGATGTTGATGTGAATGTTGCTGTTGTTGGTGAGATTGTACTGTTGTGTTGGATTCTCATGAAGAACGAATAATTATCGTTGGTCTCCCCTTCCCGGTAATTAACCATTGTACTAATTCAATAAAGTGTTTTTCTCCCAGGGTTCGCACCATGTTTGTTTACAATAGCAACAACAGAAAGCAAACGCAGTGTCCCCAATGTCCCAAAACTGGATTGTTGGGCCCTGGTTTACAACAACAGCGGCGCCCGCCTGATTCGTCCTCATACTGTATTCCCAATTCGCGCTTTCGCGCGAGACGTCCTCACAATTCTGACAGGAATCGCGCTTTCGCGTGGGACCTCCTCCCAATTTAGTCAGACGCCGCGCCCTCGACACTCCAGAATCACGCTCTCGCTGTGGATCTCCTCGCGATGTATTTGGGAATCGCGCTGTCGCTCGAGACTTCCTCGAAATCCATGCCGGACGCACGCTTCAGCAACCCGCCTGCTCGACCTGGCCGTCTGGGCCCGCCTTCCCGACCCGCCCATCAGGGTCTACCCGCCCGATCTGCCTGTCTGGTTATGCCACGTGGTTTCTGCTCCTGGCCTCCTTCCAGCTACTCTCTTTCGTGCTCCATCCTCCTCCCTTCCCCTCGTCCCTTCCTTCCAGCCGCCCTCCCTTCCCATGCCTCAGTGGCTGCACGAAATACAGGCTGCAGGTAAGAAAGATGATACCCCCAAGGGGATACGATCGAAACCGAAGAGGGCGGGTATCGAGAGTTTGGGATATACGTGTAGAATGGCCCGCAAGCAGATAAGAGCGATAACTGGTTGTGGTTGTTGTTGATGATGTTATTGTTGTGGTTATGGTTGTGGTTGTGGCGCTGTTGTTGTGGATGCTGTTGGTTGTGGTTGTGGTGTTGTTGTGGTTGTTGTTAGTGATATTGTTAGTATTGTTGGTCGTTGGTGTTGGTTTTGATGTTGTTGGTGGTGTTGCTGGTGCAGGTATTGTCGTCGCCGTTCCACCTGCGACCCCCTCCCCGCGACCCACCCCGCGCCCGCCCCCTCATTCTTCTCCGCAACTGCGGGGTGCTACGTGCCCCTATTGCCCCCCGATCACCTAGAGAGAATCGGCGACGACCAAGAAACTCTCGGCTCTCGGCGCGCGACGCCCCCCCGTTCCGACGTCCCCGTGTCGCCTGAGCCTCAGGCTGGCCGCTCACCTGCCCGGCCTGGGCGGGGGCGGGGGCGTCGGCGCTGCCGCTGGCAGGCTCCTGGCCGCCTCCTCCTCCTCCTCCTCCTCCTCCTCCTCCTGCCCGCTCATCCTGCCTCCTTCCCTGGTCGTCTTCGTATTCGTGTCCGTCGTCCTCCCCTCCTCATCCTTCCTTCCGTGCTTCCTTCCTGCCGCTCCTCCTCCTCCTCCTCCTCCTCCTCCTCCTCCTCCTCCTCCTCCTTCACCGAGTGAGAGGTGAGCGGTGAAGAGGGTGTGGGGCACCACGCGGGAACACACGCGTGGAAGTCGGCGGCTTCGACAGCCAAAGAGCCGCCCCCGCGGGCGTACCGTAATGGCGTCCCCAACGCCGCCGCCGGCGTCAGCAGACCTCGAGGCTCGAAGCTCGAGGATCGAGGGAAAATTTGATCGTTTCGGGCCTCCCCTTGGGGCTCTTGTCGCCACGGCGGGAGTCCCCCTCGAGAGATTCTGGCCGGCACGCGTCCCATAACCATGCTTGGTATCATCCTCATGCACGCTCAGAAACCGAAGGAATGCTCAAGAGCGGCATCGAGATCAAATGGGCAACGATCAGAACGAGTCTGACGTGCGATGGCTACGCGGGCCGCCAGCGCGACACGCTTGATTGGAGACCAGGGCGCTTACGCGCGAGCTTACGCGGGCAGCTTACGCGCCGATGTCGGCACAAGCGACCCCGTTGTTCTGCGTCGCTCAGGTGATACCAACCATAGGGATAATGAGATGTTCCAAGCTGGTACCCCCAGGCGCGCCCAGGGGCCGTTTTCGGAGCCCGAAACCAAACACTGGCGGCCTGAAGCAATCGCGCTGGAGGTTGTTCCTCAACCATCCTGTTGTGTTGGGTCCTCGTTTTCAATCAGCAGCGACCCAGGATACAGTAATGTCACCTCGCTTCGCGATTGGTGCTGTACTATCTGTCGATGTGGCGGATGTTTTCATCACACGCGGGGAGGCGTCGTGTTGCTGCACGTACGCCCCATGTCAAAGGCTGAAGCAACCCCTCGACCTCTCGCCAGGGCCGATGGAACCAACAAGACTGCGGCGCCACGGAGCGGGGAGCATGGTAGCACTCAACATCAACACTACCCGATCCTATCAGATACTATCCTCTTTGGCCATGCGCACAAGAGGGGAGGGGAAGGGGGAAATTTCCTCGGGAGGACGCTGCTTCTTAGAATGCGCCGGATATGCGTCTGTAGAAAGGCCCGCGCCTTTTTAAGAAACAGGGGTGCTTCTAAGAAACCCTCCCCCATACCCCATCTCTGTGCGTGGCTGACCTCTACCATATCCAATGCAATCCTCCCCCCACCCACCCCATCCCTATCCTGTACCCCTTTTTCCAATCCGATCCTATCCCATCATATACTCCCCCCCCAATCCTAGCCAATCCTATCCTATCCTGTCTCATCCTCTACAACCTCCTCCTCCTCCTCCACCTCCTCCTCCTCCTCCTCCTCTTCTTCCTCCTCCTCCTCCTCCTCCTCCTCCTCCTCCTCCTCCTCCTCCTCCTCCTCCTTCTCCTCCTTTCTCCTCCCCTCCCTCCTCCTCCTCCGCCTCCTCCTCCTCCTCCTCCGCCTCCTCCTCCTCCTCCTCCTCCTCCTCCTCCTCCTCCTCCTCCTCCTCCTCCTCCTCCTCCTCCTCCTCCTCCCCTCCTGTTCATCCTCCTCCTCCTCCTCTTCCTCCTCCTCTTCCTCCTTTTCCTCCTTCTCCTCTGCCGCCCGCGGTCATGGCAGACCAGGCGGCTCTACTGAGACGTCTCGCAGCACTGGGCCCCGGTCCACCACATCACCTTGGGCCAGCCTCCTGTTGAAGCCGGCCCAAAAGAACACACTCGAGCAGTGCCAGTGAGACCCTTTTCGGCGGGAGGGGGGGAGGACGATAGAGCAGCAGGAAGCACAACATCGCTGTTTAGGGTGCTGGGCGCGCGCCAAGTCGCGCCAGGGAGGAGGGAGGGGAAAGAGGAGGGAGCCGGGAGAACCGGAAGATGGATCACCTCGGGCGCACTCTGGCCGGCGCACCAGTGCCCGCGCGCGCAACGCCGTCGACCAGAGCTCGTCCTCCACGATGCACGCCAGGTCGCGGGGGCACAACAGGACAGCCGCCGCCCCTGGGCCCCCAGCCCCGAGCAGCAAAGCTCTGTCGTGCTCGAGCAAGCGCTGCCGCAGGGCAGCGTGTTTGTTCTTTTGCGCTAGTCTCACGAGTTTGCTCTGCTTGATCAGGTTCGGAGGGCTGCGAGCAGCGCGGCCCCCAGCGCTGGGTCGGCTCCGAGGGCCCGAAGCTCTGCGCGCGCCTGCGTCAGCGCCTGTTCCAAACTCGGCAGCCCTTCGAGCAGCTCGCCCGGCGCGGCTCCGACATCGGCAGCCACACACACTCCGCGGCGAAGGCCCAGCCCGCGCAGGAAACGGCCGCCCTGCGCTCCGCTGCCCATTGGATACCTGCCCCGCCCTCCTTCCGCGAGAGGCCCAGGACCTCCATGCTGAGCGGTTCGAAGCTCCTACCAGCCAGCTGCTCCCAGCAGCGCAGCAGCTGGCTGTCGTAGCGCAGCGTCTCCTGGTTGTCAACGAAGGAGGCCCGCAGGGCGCGCTGGTTGGCCGCGCCCGCGCAGGTGCCGAGCAGGCTGCCCGCCGCCTGCCGCCGCGGGCCGTGCTGCGTGAGCGGCCAGAGACCTTGCCAGAGGGAGGGCAACCTGCCCGTCGCCGCGTCGAGGCTGCAGCCCTGCTGGCCCAGCGCAAGGAGGGCGCCCTTCAGGCGCGCGCCCAAGACCGGGGGCGCCGCCACCCAGTGCCTCCTTTGCAGCTCTGGCGGGATCACAACCGCCCCGGCCCGCGACCACACCCGCGTCTTTTGCTGGTTTAGCTCCAGGCCGTACGGCGCCAGGGCCTGCTCGAGGAGCTGGAACGCCTGCGCGGCCAGAGCCACCGGGACCAAGACGCACGCGTGGTCGAGGCGCAGGAGCACATCCGGGCGTCCGCGTCGAGGGCGGCGAGCTGCTCGAGGGGCTGCAAGGCCTTGCGCTGGCCGACTGAGAAGGTCGGCGCCAGCGGGCCGCCCTGGTCGAAGCCGCGGGTGCTTTCGACCGGCTCACAGTTGCCAGCTGCGTCGCGCCAAATGGTGAGCAGCGCTGCCCCGGCACCGCGCGTCGAGCACGCGGGCCACGTCGGACTCGTGCTCTGCCATGGCCTCGATGGCCCGCTCCATTCTCTGGAAGGCAGCTTTGACGTCCACCTTGGTGAACGCCGCACCCAGCCTGCGCCTGCAGCTGCTTCAAGGACAGGTCTGCGCCGCTGCTCCGGCCGACCCCATGCTGGTGGGGACCGGCCGCCTGGCGGAGCGCTTCGTCTTCTTCACCCTTGCCAAGGCCCTCATCCCCAGCCGCCTCAGGGTGGCGCCCACCAGGAGGGGTCGGACCTCGCCCGCGCCCTCGTCCACAGCGACGACCTCCCCGACCGGGAGGGCCTGCAAGCACCTCTCGCGACACGTCTCCGAAGTTCAACTTTGCGACTGCCCACGCCACTGTCTCGAGGACGTCGGGGCCGTCCGCGCACGTGGCCAAGTGCTCGAGGCGCGCTCCCAGCAGGCCCGGGGCCGCGAGGCGCGGGGGAAGCCGCGGGAGCTTGCCGACCTCCTCGCGGAGTGCCTGGCGCACGTCCTCGTTCGGGGCGGCCCCGGCCAAAGGCCGCGCCTGCGCAGTTGCCGCGCTGGCGCCCCTCGGGAAGGCATTCCTGAGCTGGGCGACGGTTTCCGGCGCGCGCGGGGCCACGGGCGCGCCTCGCACGGCCCCGAGAGCTCGGCCCCCCTCGCGGGCGGACGCCAAGGTGTGAACTCCGCGGGCTTTCCTTTCGTCGGCGCCGGGGCCGGCTGCCCTTGGCGGAGGGGTGCCGCGGCCGGCCGCGCCACCCCACAGGGCCGCCCATTGCCCGCCCCAGAACCAAGCGAGACGCTCCTCCAGGGTCTCTGCGCACGTCGCCCCGGCGCCCAAGCGCGCCAGCAGCAAGCCGTCGCAGAGGAGAAGAGCTTTCCACGTGTGTTCGGCGTCGCCGCGCCCGCCGGCCGCTACCAGGGCCGTCAAGAGTGCTGCACGAGCCGTGACGCAAGCGCCACGGAAACGATCTGGGACCTGGACAAAAGTGGGAGCGCCCACGCGGACCGCCGCCGACCACGACAGGTTCTCCCACCAGCTCGGGTTCGGGAGATCCCCGCTCTCCCACGAAGGGTGCATGGGTGCCGAGGCGGGGTCGGCGGTCGCCGGCGATTGCGGCTGCCGGCCAACTCTGGCAGCGACTGCGCGGGCGAGCGCGGCGGATACAGCTGGGACGTGCTCATCTCTCGCGTCTCCGCCAGGCCTCTGGGCGCGCGTATCCCCTGGCGCGGCCTGGGCGGAAGTGCACGCCGCGCATCTCCACCTGCCCCGGCTCCGACTCCCCCATGTGGCCACCTTTATTTCGTTCGTCTCGAACGGGATGCCACAACCAGAGCACGTCGCTGGGCGGGGCGTGCTCTTCTGGATGTCCACCGCCCACTGCTGTTCCCTCCGCCGCCAGCGGTTGAGCCGGGCCCCGGGGTCGGCATCGACCTCCATAGCCACGGCGCCGTTTTGCGGCGCCACCGGTCCCCCAGCAGCCAGCGGAGCGTCCCGCATCAGCGCGTCGCCCTCCATCTCGCCCTGCTGCGAGGGGGCCCCAGCGCCCTCTGGCCCGCTTGGGGGGCCCTCGCCGGGGTAGCCGAGCGTGGAGTCGAAACTCTTGGCGCTCCAGTCGGCGACCCAAGCGGCCGGGGTGACTGGAGAGGCGATCACGGCTGGGGGAGTGCCGGAAGCATTGCACAGGGCCCCAGCCGCGGCTCCAATAGAGGTGGCAGCGACCAGAGCGGCCCCGAGGCATGCGAGCGCTTTGCCGCAGGCGCAGATGCGGGTCCTGTCGAGTGCGCTGGCCCAGCGGCCGGCCAGGCTGCCGCTGCCGTAGATACTGTTGGTCACGAGGGCGACGAGGTCAACGAACCTGACGACCGCGAACGCGAGCACCCAGAGGATGTCGGCCACCACGAACGCGAAGCCCAGCCAGGTGTCCTGGGGCCCCCCGTCCCCAGCGTCCTCCTCCCAGACCGTCGTGAGGAACCCCACGATGAGGGCGAAAAGGCCCCGCTGCTCCGGCGGACGTGCCAGAATAGGCGCAAAGCCTCCGGCGGCACCTCCAACGCGCTGCGCATCGCCCCGGCGGCGGCGCGCACTCGGTCCCGGCCCGCCTCCTCGGGGGCGCACTGAGGCAGAAGCTGCCCCTCCTGGACGGGGCCCGCAGCTGGGCGGCAGGCCCGCGAACAAGCCAGCAGTCTAGTGCCCCCCGAAATGAGCATACGATTGGGGTGGCGCAGTGGGCGGCTCCCGATGTCCCACATCGAATGACAAGCGAGCAAGCAACAATAATCAAAGCATTGAATCGCATGCGAACAAACATCTCTCTGAAGCAATGATTGCTATGGTGGGGCGGAGGGCACGGCATGCGGTTGCCGACGTCGACGGGGCGACATACGACAGACACGGGGAGCCCTCCTCCTCCTCCTCCTCCTCCTCCTCCTCCTCCTCCTCCTCCTCCTCCTCCTCCTCCTCCATTTCTTCTCCTCCTCATCCATTCCTTCTCCTCATAGAGAACTCCTCCCTGTCGCAGGCGGGCCGGGCGTTTCGCCTGAGACTTCCTCACCACTTATGACTGAAGCTTGAACGATGACAACAGTCTCACAGGCGGAGGGCGGGTGGTTTTCAAAATGTGGCTCTCGCCTCAGCACCGCGCACATTCGTTTAAACGATCTGCAAGAGCTTCACGGATTGAGGGCGGGTGGTTTTCAAAATGTGGCTCTCGCCTTAGCGCCGCGCACATTCGTTTAAAAAACCTGCAAGAGTCTCACGGATTGAGGGCGGTTCCTTTTCAAAATGCGGCTCTCGCGCTAGCGCCCCGCACGCTCGTTTTTCATTAGAACATGCAAGAGCTTCACGGATTGAGGGCGGGTGGTTTTCAAAATGATGCTCTCGCCTTAGCGCCGTGCGCATTCGTTTCAAACATTTGCAAGAGTCTCACGGATTGAGGGCGGCTCGTTTTCAAAATGTGGCTCTCGCCTCAGCCCCGCGCACATTCGTGTGAAACATTTGCAAGAGCTTCACGTATTGAGGGCAGTTCCTTTTCAAAATGTGGCTCTCGCCTTCGCGCCCCGCACATTCGTTTTTCTTACATTTGCAGGAGTTTCACGGATTCCCATGATCAACGTACCAGAAATTTTGTATTGGAAGGATTCAGGATTACGCGGGCGCGATGGGTTATGTTCATTCGATGTGTTGAAGTCCCAGAAATGGAGTTCTGGCACGATTCTGGGCCGTCAAGACGCAGCAGTCAGTTTGATACGTGGCGTTGAAATCCCGAGACATTTTTTTGACACGGTTCCGGGTTTTCAAACTGCTGCCTTCCAACGAGGGAGGCAGTTTCCTCAATGGAAATGAACCGTTGTAGGGGCCTATGAAGAGGGAGCTTGGAGGGATTGTTAATTCCAACATCGTTGATGACTCTTGGGTTCACACTGGTCCTCCTCCTCCTCCTCCTCCTCCTCCTCCTCCTCCTCTCCTCCTCCTACTACTACTACTATACTACTACTACTACTATACTAGTACTAGTACTACTACTACTACTACTCTCCTCCTCCTCCTCCTCCTCCTCCTCCTCCTCCTCCTCCTCCTCCTCCTCCTCCTCCCCAGACCCGGCCGTCGGGGCCAGGGGATGCCCTTCGGCCGCGCAGCGGCGGCCCCCCCCCGCCTCGGCCGGGGGCGCGGCGGCCAGCCGGACGGCCTGGCGGCGTAGGGGCGCCGAGGGGGCCTCCCTCCTCGAGGCCCTACGGGGGACGGAGGAGTGGGAGGCAATCGGGAGGGGGGTAGCAGGGGGCAGGAGAAGGATAGTGATGCTGATGTTGGAGAGAGCGCGTTTCACGGGCAGTTGCCTTGGGAACATTCGGCGGTGCGTTTCGAACCGGTGGGTGGGCCCCCCCCCAACACTCGGCGCCGTCGATCAGAATCAGGGGGACTCCCCTCCCCCTGGGCCCTGAACCCCCCCCCTCCCGAACTCCCCCCCCCAAAACGGGAGGGGTCCAAACCCCCCCCCCCACCCGGCGCCGGCGCTGGCGGCCGCCACAGCGCCAACGCAGCGACGATGACCAGAGAGAGCCCAGGAGGGGGGGGAGTTAGAATTCTGATGTATGATAGGTTTCGCGAGCGGGTCCCTGTGAAGAGCCCTGAGGAGCCCCGGATTGACGTCCCAAAGTTAGGCTTCTAGGCTAATACTCTGCCTGCCTGCCTGCTTGCCTGTACGTTCCTTACTACAGCCATTACGGCCAAGAACCACAGGAAAATACATTTCACGATATTGAATTATATGTGCGTTACACATATATATATATATATACATACATATTTATATATATTGTGTGTATATATAAACACACAAATATATACACATATACATACACATAAACATATACATATACATATACATATACATATACATATACATATACATATACATATACATATACATATACACATACATATACATATACATATACATATACATATACACATATATACATATACATATACACATACATATACATATACACATACATATATATATACATATACACATACATATAAATTCCATTATATCTGAGCGATTGATGGATTCGATTTCATCGATATCCCAAATTTGGTAACGGAGCCTCTTCGGAGGCTTCATCCACGGACCGCCCGTTAACGCACGCACACTTGCCAGGCTCTACAGCTACGACAAGTGGTTTCAGATTTTCATCAGATACCACAGCGCACGGATTGGTTTCAGAGTCACATCAGATACTAACAGCACGGATTGGTTTCGAGATTAACATCATATACTGGTGCATACAACAGCTATTTCGTGAAGTACGGGCAGCAACAATGCAGCAGACAACAGCTACATCCCAGCTTGGTCTTCACCAGTACACAAACTACGTGCCTCCATGATGGAGGCCAAGGTCTTACCCGATCAAGGAGTACAAAGAGTACCTAGCCATTTGGGGAAGACTCACGAAGCTGGATCAAGAACAGATAGGACCCGCGATCATGTCAAGACTTGAAGGAGGTGCCCTAAGAATTGCTCTTGGACTCACTATTCAGAGGCCTGATCCAGACACGATGAATCCAGTTACTTATGAGGGCACCGAGGCAATTTCATTGGATTCACAAGGCGCCATTATTGACCCTCGGACTGGACAGCAAGCAGCACCACCACATCCTTCTGGAATCAAAGTATTGATTGCGAAGCTCACGAAACCCTACTACTTAGATGATCAAGATATTGCCTGGGCGAGTTTGGACAAATTATTGTGCTTCTCCAAACCCTACGATATGCATTGTTGGACTGGGAACGTCTCTATGCAGAAGCTGAGAAGCATGGAGGATTGGCAATAGGAGATTATGGCAAAGCTTGGTTGTTTTTTCCCCAACCCTCCTGCGTTGGGTACTCGTTTTGAATAGAGCACTGCGGTCTCCACATTCCTTCCTTCCCGCCTCCTCCTCCTCCTCTCTTCCCTCTTCCTCTCCTCTCTTGCTTCCCTTCTCCGCCTCTCTTCGCTCCTCCTCTTCTCTCTTGTATCCCTTCTCCTCTCTTCGCTCCTCCTCTCTTGCTTCCCTTCTCCTCCTCTCTTCGCTCCTCCTCTTCTCTCTTGCCTTTTACGTCATCCCTTTGGGGCTGCGATCTGTGAAACTGTCGCCACTTTCGAGGGCTGCTGGTGGGTCCAGCGGAGTGAGGCACCACGCAGATTCAGATTAGACCTCGCCATCCCTGGGGGCTGCGATCTGCGAAACTGTCACCACTGTCGAGGGCTACTGGTGGGTCCAGCGGAGTGAGGCACCACGCAGATTCAGATTAGACCTCGCCATCCCTGGGGGGCTGCGATCTGCGAAATTGTCGTCACTTTCGAGGGCTGCTGGTGGGTCCAGCAGAGTGAGGCACCACGCAGATTCAAATTAGACCTCGACTTTCGAGGGCTGCTGGTGGGTCCAGCGGAGTGAGGCACCACGCAGATTCAGATTAGACCTCGCCATCCCTGGGGGGCTGCGATCTGCTACACTGACACCACTTTCGAGGGCTGCTGGTGGGTCCAGCGGAGTGAGGCACCACGCAGATTCAGGTTAGACCTCGCCATCCCTGGGGGGCTGCGATCTGCGAAATTGTCGTCATTTTCGAGGGTTGCTGGTGGGTCCAGCGGAGTGAGGCACCACGCAGATTCAGATTAGACCTCGACTTTCGAGGGCTGCTGGTGGGTCCAGCGGAGTGAGGCACCACGCAGATTCAGATTAGACCTCGCCATCCCTGGGGGTTTGCGATCTGCGAAATTGTCGTCACTTTCGAGGGCTGCTGGTGGGTCCAGCGGAGTGAGGCACCACGCAGAGTCAGATTAGACCTCGCCGTCCCTCGGGGGCTGCGATCTGCGAAACTGTCGTTACTTTCGAGGGCTGCTGATGGGTCCAGCGGAATGAGGCACCACGCAGATTCAGATTAGACCTCGCCATCCCTGGGGGGCTGCGATCTGCGACACTGACGCCACATTCGAGGGTTGCTGGTGGGTCCAGCGGAGTGAGGCACCACGCAGATTCAGATTAGACCTCGCCATCCTGGGGGGCTGCGATCTGCGAAATTGTCGCCACATTCGAGGGCTGCTGGTGGGTCCAGCGGAGTGAGGCACCACGCAGATTCAGATTAGACCTCGCCATCCCTGGGGGGCTGCGATCTGCGAAACTGACACCACTTTCGAGGGCTGCTGGTGGGTCCAGCGGAGTGAGGCACCACGCAGATTCAGATTAGACCTCGCCATCCCTGGGGGGCTGCGATCTGCGAAACTGTCGTCACTTTCGAGGGCTGCTGGTGGGTCCAGCGGAGTGAGGCACCACGCAGATTCAGATTAGACCTCGCCATCCCTGGGGGGCTGCGATCTGCGACACTGACGCCACATTCGAGGGCTGCTGGTTGCGAAACTGTCGCCACATTCGAGGGCTGCTGGTGGGTCCAGCGGGGTGAGGCACCACGCAGATTCAGATTAGACCTCGCCATCCCTGGGGGGCTGCGATCTGCGAAACTGTCGCCACATTCGAGGGCTGCTGGTGGGTCCAGCGGAGTGAGGCACCACGCAGATTCAGATTGATTAGACCTCGCCATCCCTGGGGGGCTGCGATCTGCGAAACTGTCACCACTTTCGAGGGCTGCTGGTGGGTCCAGCGGAGTGAGGCACCACGCAGGACTCAGACTAGACCTCGCCATCCCTGGGGGGCTGCGATCTGCGACACTGGCACCACTTTCGAGGGCTGCTGGTGGGTCCAGCGGAGTGAGGCACCACGCAAATTCAGATTAGACCTCGACTTTCGAGGGCTGCTGGTGGGTCCAGCGGAGCGAGGCACCACGCAGATTCAGATTAGACCTCGCCATCCCTGGGGGTTTGCGATCTGCGAAATTGTCGTCACTTTCGAGGGCTGCTGGTGGGTCCAGCGGAGTGAGGCACCACGCAGATTCAGATTAGACCTCGCCGTCCCTCGGGGGCTGCGATCTGCGAAATTGTCGTCACATTCGAGGGCTGCTGGTGGGTCCAGCGGAGTGAGGCACCACGCAGATTCAGATTAGACCTCGCCATCCCTGGGGGGCAGAGATCTGCGAAACGGTCACCACTTTCGAGGGCTGCTGGTGGGTCGGTCCAGCGGAGTGGGTCCATGCACCGCGGAGTCATTGTTGACGCAGGGCGCAAGGATGCGAACGACCTGGACGCTCTGTGGCTGCACCTCTACGTGATGCTGTCCAGGGCGACGACGATAGACAACCTACTGATGGCGCGCGACCCCGGCCTTGACTTTCTTGCCCGCGGCCCACCGGCAGACCTTGCGGAGAAACTGCGGAAGTTCAGTTCCCGCACTGCAACATGCAGGAAGGAGGCAGAGAAGCTGGCGCGCGAGCTAGGTCTCGATCGCTTCCTGCACTAGATATAAACAGGTATGATCCTGTGGACAGGCAGCAGGCATGCGTTGACCGAGCTCCTGCAAAAACGAAACAGTCTCTTGCTTCCTCCCTCCTCTTTCATCATCGCCGCCCTAGTCCTCCTGTTACCTTATGCATTCATGGTGCTGCTGCTGCGATGGCTCCTCGCCCCTTCCTACTGGGTTCGTCCTTCTCCTGTCCCTCGTTCCCGCCCCCGCTATTGTTTAACAAGCCTTGAGACATACTCCTCGTCTTATCGATTGCTGTTCTGTGAGTCGCGCAACATTACGCATCCCATGTAGGTCGCACTACAAATCGCCGCGCCTGCACTGTCACGGTTCCTGCTAATGTTTCCCTACTCCGCTTGCCACTTGATGCCATTGGGTTGGGTACGTCGCAGGGAAATTCCACGCTCCGGCCCCCCACAGAAGCAACGCGCCGACCTATGGCTCAAGGTCAGAAGAGACCTCAGCAGATATCGCGAGATGATTGCCCTCCAAATGAAGACCTCTAAGAATGAGTCGGCCAGCTTCGATCAATCAACCGGCTACACGCACTACGACGCCGACGAGTATGACGAACATGATTGGAACGACTACTACGACTACAGTGAGTACTGGAATGAGAATGACGATTGGCATGAAGAGGACAACTGGGACAACGAAGAATACTACGAAGAGAACGAAAACAAATGACAGGACGAACCTCCAGGAGACGAGCAAGGCGAGGACTACAATGACTAGGTACTATAATGGCAAGAACAGGAAGGCAGAAAGAAAGTCCCGGATGTTCGGAAA